TCACTGGGAAGACTAGCTTTAACTGGAAGAAAACAATGAGAAATCATGTCCAGGGCTGAAAATCTTGCACGCTTTGCTTTTTCTTTTTTTCTTTTTTTTTTTTTTTTTTTTTTTTTTTGTCAGAGAAGAGAGATAATAAATGCCTTCAACTGCAGACATGTAGGAATGGCAGAAAACCTGTTTTTCTCAAGAGGATGCTTGATCATATGATGATACTGGCAAGAATGTGGAAGAGAGGAAAGCATCCAGCTGACACCGATGGCCTCTGAGGACCTGCAGCTAAACCTCCTGCCTCTCTGGGTCGCTAGCTTGGCTCCTGGGCATCTGAGAGGCAACTTGATAGCCCAAGACAGCATGGGATGTGTTGCTGCTCTCTCTGCAGCTCTGATCAATCCACTTAATTTAGAAGCTAAAGGCAGGAGACTGCCTTTCCCAAAGGAATAAGGTGAAAGGCTGCAGTGATCAAGTAGCTGGTGTTAATAAAATGCTCTGTACATGCAAAAGCTCATTAAGATGCATGAAAAAAAGACCTTTGTTTGGAAAACTTACTTTTACAAGAGAATGCCTACGTGCTGGAAGTGCAGGAGTTTGCCTCAGAGCAGTCGCTAGCGGTGGTTGCATCACCACCAGCTCACCCATCTGAGATGGAGCAGACCCCCGAGCAGTGCGCTGGTGGGGGTACCTCGGGCAGGCAGGTGGCCCAGGATCACAGCCAGGCTGCCCCTCCTTCTCCCAGCCTGTAGCAATGATGCAGCTTATAGTTCCAAGGGTGATCTTTGAGTGCAAGATAGAAAAATCTGTCCCTGCCTCATACAGCAGGATTTAGTGAAACAAATGGAGTAATGACTTTGATTATGAACGCTGATAAATCAGTTCAGAAAACAGATCATCTAATCATGGTATTAAGATGAAGAAAGTTCTGCCATATGTAAATGGAGAAGGTTATAAAGCAGGTAAATTAATAGAGAAAAGAGCCGTATGCAGACATCTGTGTGAGTTTCCATCCTAAATCCATATTCCTTTATGTTCCCAAACAGCAGTACTTACCTACAAACACACTAATAAATAATTTGCAATAACCAATTCAAATCTTTAGGTAGCTCACATAGGGCATGCTGATGTACTGAAATTATAAAACTTATGCAGAAAAAAACATTCAGAATTAGGCAGATCTAAAAAGTTCAGGAAGACTGTTCCAAAATTTGCAGGAATTGAATCTCTCGGTTATGCTTCACTATTTACACAAGTCACAAGCGAATTTACACTACTGACTCAGAAGAAACAACTTTCATTTTCTGATAAATGATAAGACATCAGCTTGAAGGAATAGAAGTGCAAAAGTACACATACAAGGTTTAGCACTGGTTTCTTATCTCATGAATGGTTTCATACTAACAGAGTGTTCCTCTGAGGTTAAGCCCGTATCTAAAACTCTACCACAGGAACCTTATTTCCTAGCTTTCATGTAAATTTCCACGGAGGCTAAGAACTAATTGTCATGGAAAATAAGAGTTTTCAGCGGAGTATGAACCTGTGTTGACAGCCATCTTTCTGGAAAAGCTGATTACTGGCATAGCTGTCCTCCTGTCTCAACTGCTGCCTTGCTGATCAGAAGCAGCTGCAAATACATCAATATTACCAATGAAAATGCTACACACACAGAAAATCACATTTATTGGAACTATTTGCAGCATGTACTGCTACTGCAAAGTTTGAGATCCCTTAGGGGGGTTACTTCATTCACTCTCCTCTAGGCGATGTAAATTCTTCCTTAATAAAATGCTTTGTGTTAATTTTAGAACTACTCCACAAAGAGACTTTACCTGCACAGGCAGAAAGACAGAGAGCAGCACTATTTCAGGGCAGGGACAGAGTTCTCTCAGACGGTGTGCCCGCTGACTTGATGATGAACCCCAATCTGGCTGTTCGGTCTGTGCTCACCTCTCTTGACTCTATTACTGCAAGCAGACCCAGCTCAGAAGACCACACAGCATGGCACCCCAACGTGGCTTCATGCAAGATGTGCTGCTTCTGCTGGGGCAAATTTTAAATTCTAATGTAAAGTTTCTTACAATGAATATGATTCGTGTTAACAGGGTTTGCATAGCTCTAAAGGTAGTTTTGGATCTTTGCTCTGTAACATCAAACATAGCCTGTAATGTTACAGCAAATTAAGGAGTGAGCTAGGAAGCACTGAATCAGATTTAAGATCTAGCATATAGCAGTTAAATGCCATATCACAATTCTTACTGACATGGAAAAAAACTTAAGCGTTATTCAAGTAATGGTGAAGAACAGACCCATTCTGAAAAATGCAAACATCAGAGGGTAAGATGAACTATGGACCACGTGGAGTGAACTAAAGATTGATTTGCTACTTCCTGAATTACTAAGACAAGAAACAATGCAGAGAATCGGTAATGGAAGCTTGAATGCTAGCTGAAAGCCCTGGTGTTGGGTATTGAAAGATCTTCTCAGGATGATGCTGAGTTAAGATTATTCCATGGGAACTGTTATTCCACCAACTCATTTTCTGTGCATTTAAGTAAGCTGCAACAGCAGCTAAAGATATGGTTCTTTGTTACTCATGGTTAGATGCAGCTTTTCAGGACTGAAGTGGCTATTTCCCTTTGTGTCAGGCTACCGTTTTCCCAAACAGGCCTTCTGGTGCTCCTGGGAACAGTTTCTGAAACCAAAGGTTGCATTCAGCTTTCTGGAAGTCCTCAATTAAAAAAAAAAAAAAACAAAAAAAAAAAAAACCTGCCAGAAATATCAGCACTGCTACAGCAAGAAACAATGTTTAAAGGTGGGAAGGGAAATGCCACCATCTTAAAAACTTGAAGGAAAGAAGAAATTATATAAAACTTTAACTACAGCAGCTGAAATGTATGAGAAACAAATGTATTTACTCAATTCAGTGTTATCATTGCACAGTGAGAGCTGCGTAGTTTGTGAAATTTATGCTGTTTCAGTTAAAGGAAATGAGACCCTTGCCTTGAGTTTGAGTGAGCGTGGATGGGGCCCTGAATTTAAAACAGTGAATGAGTTTTGAAAAGATGTTTATGAGGCTTTTGTTTGAATGAACGTATATATGTTGAAAAGGATGCTGTGTTCTCGTGCAGCAATAGAATTATGCAGAACGTGGACTGTGTAAAAAAGCTTATATTTTATTAATGAGTCTCTTAGTGCCAACATAGTTTATTTTTGTAGCAAGAATAATTTTAACTTGAATTTTGTTGTTTCAGGACCAGAGCAATGGAATGTCTCTGTTGTTTCAAAAAAGTGCATTTGATAAGGAGTGTTTGGCTCACAGAAAGCACAGAGCTACCAGGAATGAAAAAAATCCACATTTTGTCTTTTTCAACCATGGGTGCTTGCTTTTATATGTGGCACAAGGAGACAGAAACTGTGATGATGATGATGATTTTTTTCCTGTGGTGTTTTTTCTACTAAGGCATCATTAACTCTTTGCAAACGTATGGTTTATAATTCCAGCCCTATGACTGAACATTGAATTTCCTAATTTCAGTTAGTGTATTTATCGTTTTTAACTCTTTCTGGCCCCTGAGTAGAAATATGATGACACTGAGCACACCTGGCAGAGTAGGATCATCTGTCACTGCCAGGCAGGATGGCAACATGAAAAGTCCCAGCAGAGAGAAGATAATTACTAACTATATTCCTCTACCCAAGAGATCCCAGGTGTAACATCAATTGTGTCATGGTTTAGAAAAAACTGAGAAAAAGTGGTGGGTTTTTTTCTTGATAGGTTTTTAATTTTTATCCGCATTTTCTTTTTCTTGTGAAGTTTGCCTTGTAAATAGTGGGTATAAATTAATGTCTCTTGTTCAAGTGCATTTCTGCTGAAAGGGCCCCACCCATCTTTTAATTCTGCACCAAAAATTCTGCACCGACGCGTGCTGGAGATTTGCAGTGCTGAGTCTCCAGCAGTTATGACCTCATCCTCAAAACCAAGATAAGGCAAAGGGAACATAGGGGGCTGGAAAATAGCTACAGAAGGAGGTTTAGGACATGAGGAGCAAGGGATATGATTAGAGGGAGCTTCTCCCTTATTCCTTATTTATCGGTCTTATAAGAACCTCTTACAGCAAGGGTGCTCATACTGCCTTTTTAAAACATTCAAGGAAATGATAGGTAAGAACTATACTGACAGCATCATCAGCTGCTAACCAGAAGGTTAAATGAGCTCTGTGGGAGGAACTAGTGCACTCGTGCCTCTGAGAACATGAGGTTTAGGGAGCACTGCCATGCCCAAAGCCACCATGCACAGCTCTGCAGAGTGTGTATTTCACATCAGTGAATGACGGTAATTCTGACAGTCAGGTTACCACTGATTAGTGTCAGGTTTTTATTGCCTGACAGGCAAGCAAACCCCAGGCACAACAGCACTGCTCTCCACTCTGAGGAACCAGCACCTGTTTAGCACTGACATCCTGAACTCCTAACACTGCATCAGCCTACTTCTGTCATCGATGTGTGTAAGCAGAGGGGACCAAGCCAGCAAGTGTTTTGCCACTCCATGTAGAATACTGTGGGCTTTATTTGCACCTTCTCATTTTACCCTTCTTCAGGTTCCCAGACATTCATCGTTTTGCTCGCTTCCTTTATGAAACAGATTAAGCTTGGCAGTAGCTGCCCACAAGCAGCCTTGCCAAGTCCCTGGAAGCCTGTCTCTTACATCTAGTTACAGTTCAAAGATTTTTTTTTTCCTTTGAAGTGCTTTCCTAAATCAACTATCTGCTTTGGACTCCACATCTAGTCTGTGTGTCATCTGTGATAATAAACAGGAGATCTCTGAACATCTCTCAAGGTGTTTAAAGAGCACTGCAGTATAGTTTACAAAGACCACAAGCAAATAATTAGATCCATTGTCTAAAATTAAAAAGGTGTTTGTTTAGTAAATCTGTGACCTAAAAGTGGTACAGTTAGTAAGTACATTACTGTGCTCTTCCTTGCTAGAAGTCAGGACTGAATTATAGGCTAATTTGGAGTTCCCAAACTTTGACTCTAACAGAATAAAGGATGAGTGGGAATACAGTATCTTAACAGTCAGAAAGAGTAGTGGAAATTATATTGCAGTATCCTTCTCACTGCTGGGGAGCTTCCACCACTTTGTTTATATATAGTTTCTATAACAGCACTGGCTATCTCCACTCAGGTAAAACTCTCAAGGGAGACTGATGGGATTTGATAGAAATTAACCTAGAATTACAGGGTATAATGCTTATAATCCGTCTTTTGGCATAGAGTTGAGCCGGAAAGTTAAGGGTAAGCCTTCGACCAGATGTCTACTCTTCTCCCACTAGATCTTACAGTAATCCTCCATCTTAGACAGAGAAAAGTATCAAGATGCTGCTGTACCATAGCCCTCGCTATTTCACCAGTGCAGTGCATAATACGCAACCTATATGGCTCCAAAACTCCAAAGGAAGAAAAGTTTATGAGGACAAAGAAGGGAGGATGTAATTTGAAAAATAAAAGGAAAACATATACGGAGAAAGGAATGGATGCTCTTTTGTCAGGACACAAAGCAGGGTGGATGAAGCAAATACAAAAGCAGGAAAAATCTTGCCTTCTGAAAGAATAAGCAAAGATTTTTTTTTTTCTTTTTTTTTTGTATCTTTATTTAACTTCAAAGGGTCCATAACTGCTTCCCCCTCCAGGTCTTGGTAAGCTGGTTGAAAAGATGCATTTTGGTTTTGTACTACAGGAATAAACTCACATCACATGAAATCTCTTACTCACAAAGGAATTTTTCTTTCCAAGGCATCTTTGAGACAGTTATCAATAAATAACAGACAGTAACAAGCTAAACAGTCTGTTACCTAATTTTCCTTTCATCAGTTGGTGAAAAAATCTGCACAAGCTACCTATAACAGTGCCAGCAGAAGAAAACACCACTTGTTTCACTGAGACAGATGCATACTGCTAAATATAGATTTTACATAATTGTTGGTTTCTAAGTTCATAAGACTCATTTCCACTGCTTCTCAGTGGCTCTTTCTCATCCCCCATGTCATTGTCTTTCATCTGTGCAAAATAGGCTGGAGAAGCTTTGCATTCATAGTGCCTGTCAAGAGATTTCAGGTGGATCAACATATGAAGAGCATAGGCAAGAACCAGCAGCAGAATCAGTGACATAACCAATCCCATAAGTATTGCTGGAGAGAAAAAGGATGCACAGTCCTTTGCATAGGCAAAATGTCCTTCTTGAATGTTAAAACCTTGAATCTACAAAGAGAATAAAAGGGCTCATATTAAATAAAGTATTTGCTGTCTTGGTTAAAAACAACTTCATGAATTTGCTCCTGATGCCAGAATTTTCAATCTAATATCTGCTTATTGCACAAGCATATCTATCAGTACTAGCAGGAGTTAACACTCAGAGTCTATCGAGGTCACTCTTCTAGGAACCACCAGCTATTCTAATCCCCTTCAGTCTGCTGCCCAAAGGATTTGTGGTTGTGTTTTAAACAAAATCTTCTATGATCTGTCTTGATAGCCCAGTCGTATTTAGTTGTAAGCGTGGTACCTTTCAAGTTAATGGTGCATTTCCAATAAAATTTGTTGAGAATCTCCAGAGTCTTTGTTTCAAACTGCATAAACTTCAACACGACAAACAAGGAAATATTGGAAAACAAACAAGGAAAAGTTGACTACCCCAATACTAGAACTTTGCAGTATATGGCAGCAAATCAGCTAAACTACTTCAAGTTGCACTCAACTATGGCAAAAACCAGTAAGTTTTATTTGTGGCTTCCGTTCTAACAAGAAGATTATCACATTGGCATTCAGGGAATTGACTGCTTTACTAGATTAGCATTTATCATATAGTCAGAAAAGGGGGATCAACTTTTCCCCCAATTCCCTTTTTCAGCTCTTCATCCTCTATAATTTAGGTAACTAAAAGCAAAACATCACTGTCCTGTCATCTAAGGCTTCCTTATTGTCAAATGCAGAAAAATGTGCATTTTCAGAAAATTATTAATCTCATCTTGAAATAAGGAATTAAAATGAGTCAGAGGAATTATCCAGTGGCTTTAGAGGCAGACTGGGCACAAGGTTAAAAATACTAGGCATCAAAATTTAAGGGAGATGAATCCCATACTTGGTGACTGATGCTGTTATTGATGTTTGAGAGCCCAGCTCAGAGAGGTGTAACACTGAAAGTTAAACTCACTCCTCAAGCTAAAGGGAAACCCAGGCAAGAAACTACAGAAAATCTATACAGCCCTTCATTTTCTTTGATAGAAAGACACATTTAATTTAAGTCTTCATTTTTATTCAATTTCTATTTTGAGTTCCATGGAGATCCTGTAAACTGTATATGGAAGGTCATCCTTTCCTGGCAGTGAAGTACGAAATTTCCCACCAGTCTACCTATGGGATCCATCTTCCTTAATTCCATGACGTTACCTGGAAATCAATAAAAGTGACTTCCCAAAGCTTTGAAAGATCATTTGCAGAACTGGGTATGAGGAGTGCATCATATCTCTGCAGGCTGCTCACATGTTCACAGTGGTAGGAGTAACTTGCTGGTGCATATATTCTGGTTGCATTAAACGTCGCTTGTATGGAGTGGTTGTAAAGAAGTTGCAGTCTGTGTAAACTGAACCAGTTCTGAACAGACAGCTGGTAATAGCTAGTTGTTAATAATAATCTGAAAATATTGTATGGGAAGAAAGGTGAGTAAGAAAGCAAGTCTAACTAAAAGTTCTAACTATTAAATTCACATGTTGAATAATCTTAGAAGACACACTGGTATTAAGAGCGTTTCATCCATTTATAGTAGTGTGAGCTCCAGCTCCTTCTATTGAGTCTGGAAAGTTATTTGAGTTTCTTCATTGTTGCAGCTGAAGGAATTTGCTGCTCTCCCACACAGTGAGAGGAAACATGAGGGATTTTTCCCAAATGACTGAAAAAAGTCTATACGCAACACTGGTATTGTACATCCATCTGATAAATGGAAAACTATTTATCAAGAAATGTTGTTTCCTTTGATTGCCAGGAAGCAAACATAAAGCAGGTCACAGTCTGATGGCCTGAGCAGTCCACAATGTCAGTTCTCACAGCAAAATTCCCAGCCGAATTGTACTTAATTACCAAGGTTTAGCAAAAATCTAAGACATGGGAAGATTCTATTCAAGAGATGACCTGAAGAGTCAACACAGAAGAAATGTCTTAATAAAACAATGCAGACCTTGTGTGTAAAATGACAGACCTATTAAATGCATTAAATTCTATCACATTTGTTTTCTCCCAAAACAAATTGCACAAGTCACTGTATAACAATGGATATTAACATGTAATATTTTCTTTATCATCTTTATCTTTTCTTTAAACCTGTAATATCTTCCTTATCATATAAACTTACCTAATAACAAGTCCCTTTAGATTGCCAATGTCACCAAACTTCAGAGAAAGCCTAGGTCAAAAAGCAAGTAACATCAGGCTAGATAAAGACTTCAGAAATCTTAAGGAAAAAAAGCAGCACAAAAGATTAAGCACAGTTATACATGGAGCCTTTTGCACAGTATACCTTTGAAGTCAGTAGAAAAAAACAAACTGAAAGGATTAAATCTTCCCCCAGTGAAATCTGGTAGTTCAGCTGTTAATTTGAATGAGGCCTAGACCATCCAGAAAGATCAGAACTGTATGCTCAACTTTCAACATACTCCGATCCCGCTGCTTCCAACACCAGTTGACAATTATGTTAATTTGATCTGTGTCCTCCTTCTCAAGCCGTATCTTAGTCATGAATCACTTCTGTATGTCATTAGAAAGTGTAAACCACCACATTATTCTCATCTTTTTAGATACTAGAGCATAAGAAATGCAGATGACATTTGAGTTCAAATTCCACACATGTGCATCATTAAAGCAATATAAATACACTGACTGAGGTAGCTCCACAAAGCTCATCTGTGCTGAGCATGGGCACATGAAGTTTACTAAACTGAATGGTCCTAGCAAGTTAATTGTAAACTAATGTGTACTCTACCATCCTTCTACCACCTCTGGAACTCATGCATTGTAGCACTGCCTGATTGTGTGGCATACATTTTTTTGGCTTAAGAATATTTTGCCTCTTAAAACCTCTATAATATATTCTCAGTGGTGACATAACATTTTCAGACTAAGTTAGTGACAAAACGTAGTGCAGCATCTGAAAGACTTCCAAATCTAAAGTCAAAGAAAATTAAAAAACCCCACTACTAACCCTCTGATTTTATGCAAGATCTAGACTTCTTCTTGTACCTTGACACTGGTCCAATAATCCAGGACACTGTATCTAGTTATTCCTTGATTTACTACAAAGGAAAGTCATGGACAGTTGAGGATTAGACACAGAAAAATATGGCGTTCAACTCAGTGGCCTGATCCAGAAGGTGGTGCATAAACCCCCCCCCACTTTATTATATTCATCTAGCAAATCCATATGTGTTTGGTGTCAAATATTTTTCCCTGGCTCCAGCTACTCTGCATAGATTAGACAGTATAAACCAGCTTTAAACCTAGCCTAAAGCCACAACAGAGTATTGTCTTAACCAAGAAGGCTGGAGAAGAGAGAAGTTTTCTGTGGTGAGAAAAATGTGGCAATGCATCATGCGAGCAGTCAGCCATCAACTGGCACAATTCAGGTCAGTCCTTAATCCGGAGACTACAGAGTAACATTCAAACCAGTTTTTTCCTTTCTTCACTGCTACAGTCAGATGCAGGTTGACTGAAAATCTTACTGAAGACTTGTATTTGGCAATTAAACTGAGTCTAATCCTGACTCATGAGCCCAGACTACCCATTTTCCTATTATAAAATAATGCTATTCCATTCTCTACCTGTCTGTCAAAACATGGTGCTGAATTAGTTCACATGCTGATGATGTAAAATCCAGACTATCTTACTGAATATTATGATGCCATGGGGAGAAAACCTGGCTTCTTTTTCCATTATACTTTTAGCTTTCTTATAACCTCACTAATATTTCTGTGCACTTTGGGTTATCCTTCACATACATATAATGAGGAGGAGGTTATACCTCCTTTCTGTGGAAATGCCTTGAGGTGTACAGGTGAAACTGCTGGGTTTGGTCATGCTATTTTTATTGTTGTGTGTCATTACAGATTTAAACACCATTTATGGAGTAGACTCAGTGCTCACCTTCAGCACACGGCCAGTTAGGTATCCATCTCCTAATTTTTAGACTCTTGCCTACCAGACTGGAATCAATGACCTCGTATTAGAAAAGAATCCAGCCAGCACACTACATGGAGGGAGAGAAGTGGGCAAGTACATGACAAAGGAAATTTAAAAAAATACATGCTTCTCTAGTACAGTCACACAACTGGAGGATTTTAGATCCTGTTAGGTTACTATATAGCTCTCACTCAGGTTTAGCAGGAGCAAAGCTGCTAAATGCTGCACATGCAGAAGAAATTCATGACAGACTGGGATATACAGTTCAAGTTTTCAGAGACCTTTCATCAAACCTGTAGTGAATTCACTCTTTGGTTCTAGCAACTCACAGGTCACATTCTGGGACTTGGGGTTTACGTTATTGCTGGCACACATCCTATGAAGGGATAAGTAGTCATGCACAGCCAGCCCCTAAGCCCCCATATTCAGCCTAGGATACACTATTCAATCTCCAAAGCAGCCATGTAAGACAGATGGAGACTAAAGAGATCAACAGCTTCAGCCTTGTAGGCACTAAAGAGCAAAACTGGCTGGTCACAAGGATTGACTACTCCACTGCAAGGGATTAAAACAGCTATGTACATCCATGTGCCCCATGAAAGACTGGTCTGAACGTATATAACCCATGCTGCCCTGCTGCCTGCAATGTCAGGATGTTATAGGAAGGAGTTGGCCCCTGGGGCTCTACAACACATAATACAAGATCTTTTCCTTCAGTATGTATTTACTAGACTTGGTATTTGCTACTGGTTCCATCAGCAGAGTAGAAAGCCACCTTACATTGCATTGTCTTCACTGCAGTTTGAATCTCCAATATCCACTGTTGCATGGACACCAAACGTCTTCTCCGTCAAATCCAGCTGCGTGTGGTTTTCAAACTTAATCATGATCCTCTTGGCCCAGAAGAGAATGCAGGGGCTGCCATTAACCGTGACATTGAGAGGGCTGTAGTGGCTGTGGGTGAACGGCCTCCAGGATGCTTTTTCCCACTGTCCTTTCCGGCTCAAATTGTAGCTGACAACCTGATTGATCACATAGAAGGTTAGCATCAGAAGTTGTGTATATCAAGAGTTACTCTCAATCCTCCTGGAATACAGGAGGCCAGAACTTGGTGAGCATCTGTGGAACCAGTTCTCAGCCGTGGCAGTACTGAACTGAGGAAGCAGAGAAATCCCTGGCTAACCTTTTCCCACCATGGGAATGGCTCCATACAGACCTCTAGCTCCAGCAAAACTGGCCAGAGAGACAGTATAAGTTATATTTATCTTACTAGGGTAGTATCACTGGGGCAAACCATATTTCTGGCATGGTCCCAGCTCACCCCAGCACACTGTAGAGCTGCTCAATATAAAAAGTTTAAGCAAATATAGATGCTCACAAGGTGCTCACTCTTCTGCCCAGAAGAAGACTCTCTAGGACACCTGTAAGAATTAATTCAACATAGTAAAGTGGACTCAGTTTTGGCCAAGGACACAGCCTACCATGCTGAAAGCACACTATGCAGCTGTCCAGGTGAAAAAAAGATGTCCAAGTCTAAATGTACCTGCTAATATTTTGGTTCCTGATGGCTTTAAAATTGGCAAAATGCCTACTGCCTAACAGGATGGATCAGTGTGGGTCCCTGCCTTTGCAAAATCAGTCATTCACAAGATGAAACCTGGAGACTGCAGCTTCCATGTCATCTGTAGACATTAGATAAATGCTGTCCCTTCTAAGATAAATTTCATAGCAAAAGGAGGACAATTTGACTGTCAGGCAATATAATTTGAGACAGTGAGTTAGGGCTCAGAAAGGACTAAAAAATCTGTCATTTAAATATTTAACACTAAAATTTCCAGGGAACATGTCTTTTCCATCTACACATATGTCCTCTCTGAATATAACATATACAACATCTGCATGGCTATTTTGCATGTCATATGATTAAGCAAGTTCAAATCATGTACACACAGAAGAGTTGCTCTGAGTCCCAGTCATAAACAGCATCTACCAGGCTCCAGGAGGGATGTGGTTAAGCCCCAAAGCTTTGTCTTGGCTTAAAGAGAGATTTATTTTTTTTTCTGTTCAGATTAGCAAATCATATCTCCCAGCTCAGACCCTGAAAGACCCCTTCTGATACTTGACCTTACATGTGGCACAAAACTGCCTTAGGATTAAAATTAGTAAATACTCACAGGAACAAGCTGAAAGCAAGGTCAGAAAACAGCCATCAGAAAACACTGAATATGACTGTCATTTGTATAAATGGTAAGGCTGACTTCTCAGAAGCAGAGATGAGAGAGATTTAATTCACAGATTATTTACATAAGATTGCATCACTTGCAGGGGTTTTGGTAAGGAAGCCTTTTATGTTCAGTTTTTGACAAGACCTACAGGCTGGACTCTGGAAAAACTCCCACTGAATTTAAATAATGGGCAGTTTTTCTTCAGCTATTCTTTTAGTATCAAGTGATATAAGCAAAATACTGGCTGCAGCAGTCAAATGGCATGGTTCAGAATATGGATGATAGGATCTGGATTTTTCAGTAAGACCTTGCACCAAAACCCACTGCCAGTCAGCACCAGTGGTGTCGACTGAAGTCTAACCTCATTTCTCAGAAAAGCAGAAGATATCTTGTACTGCAGGTGGTGAATCAGCACCACATCACAATGATTTACAGAACTGGCTGTTTCTTGTAAACAATGTGTTACTTAATTCAATAATGCAAATGAAAATATCTAAATGTGCTATGAAAAAAACTTTACAGATCCAGTCCTTCAAACATTACCTGTGTAATTGCTACTTGATTTACATTAAATTTTGGTTTCACACTGCCGTCATAACGTCGACCTGCAGAAGAAAGCATGTTATTAGCCTACAAAAAAAGCATGCAATCACTTATAAAAGCATAATCTTGAACATTCTTATGAAAACAATAATTACCCCTGCACAAAATGTGTACTTCAGAATACCTGATTTTCTTTTGGAAAATATCTGGCTTGGTGTGAATATTGCCTTTGATACATGCATTTTCTAGCTTACTTCACCTTACTTGTACAAAAAGGTTCCTCTTCTTTTCATTGAACTTCTTGCCACCCTTACTGGGAAGAACTCCAGTGCCCAAAAAAGAGAGCATTCAGTCTATACATGTATTTATTCGTCCTAAATACACTTAACAAAAGCTTCTTCTTTCTTCATAGAGCAAACTCTATTGTCAAAGGGTGTGTTGAATTGCATGGCAAAAGCGTGTTAACTATGGATGGGAATTTCTTTCCTTGTACTGGCCAGAGATGGGAAGCTGTGACAAATAACCTGACAGCCCAACCGTTTTCCAGGAGAATGAAGTTTCACAGATGACAGATCATTTCATGGACACTCTTACAGCTCCATCTTCAAACATTTAACTCTTTTCATTCAGGTGGGGTTTTTTTTGTTTTTGTTTGGGTTGTTTTTTTTTTAAAAAAAAAAAAGAGTTAATACTTCTTTATTTAACACTTCTTTCTTCCACATTCTCACCGCATCTCAGTCAGTCCATAAATTATTATTTTTACAAGGCAAATCCTTTAAAGGATATTTGTTAAAGAGGGATATACTTTAACAAAACATTTGACAGTCGCTGATGGCAATAGAAGCAGCATCTGGAAATGAAGATCTTTTACAGCCACGCTAACAGCCAGTATCTAGGCATTCAGCCCACTGAAAGACTTACCATTTCTTTGCAGAGAATCTTGATCTGAAAATGCACGTGAACTAGAAGAGAGGAGAAAAATGTTTACTGTACAGCATCTGGATTTAAAGTCTGCATCAAGTTTACTGGGGAGAACTCCTATTCCTGCTTAATTCAATAAAACATTCCAAATACAACTCAGACTCTTGGCTGGTTAATATCCCGGGGACAGGGCAAATTAATCCCAAAGCCAGTGTACCCAGGATAAAAATGTTTCATTTTCAGAGATTCCTCAGGTGGATCACCCCCACCAGGCATTCCCATATCCTTACCATATTGACTAAAGGCTTCTTTAACCCTCTTGTCCCTTTCCATGGGACATGAGTTTTGGGTTAGAGACTGAACCAGTTCCAGCCCACAAGCTGGGGAACTAAAGGATAGCACTGCACCATCCTCAGCCCCCAGTGAGTTTCAGAAGCAACACGTTGAATTCCTCTAGAAGAGAGCAAATGCACGAGGCTAGTATGCCTTGAGCCCAGATTTACAGCCATCTAAGATAGCTGAATGGTTCCAAGTGTTCCTAAATCCCACGGAAGCCAGCTGCAAGGTAGGGCATAAGTGAAGCACATTTCAAGTTACAACTATCAGGCTTGTGAAATTTTCAGCCTTTGATTTCCTTCTTTGGTGTGATTTCGGGATAAGTCTTCAGCTGGTAAGTATGATCTGCCTTCCTGAACAACAGAATCGAGCCCAGCAGATTCACATGTATCACCAAAAGTCCTATAAAACCAAAGTCCAAGAAACCAGGCTCTCCCTTAGGCCCAGACTCCACTCCTTGAGTCACAGGAACACCTTCCTGCCCTCTACATGGATTGATCCACTGATCCAATGACACGTGTCCACTTCTCAAGCCTGCTGTCAGCACTCCCCAGCCTGTGAACACACCGGCAGTCCCACACTCACAGCCAAGTGTCATCCCAGAGACTCTGTACACCCTGCCCAGCTTCTGCCCACACAGTGCTTCCAGGTCGTAAGCAATGGTGGGGACAGACCTGCCTCATAGCCACTTCACATAGAAATACACTTCCATCTTTTCTTGCCTTGTTTCTTACCACCATTCCAATCCACCACAAAATCAAAACACTTGAAAAGATATATACAAAGACCAGAATATAAGGACTACAAGTAAAAGCAGTTTTCAATGTTTATGTATAAATTGTACCATAAGGTATTTGAATTATAGAGTCGAAGCTTTGGCCTCACTGGGGAGGCCTTGAACATCTGGGCAAACCCTCTCCCCGATGGACTCCCTGGGTAGGAGGATCTGTGCTACCCAACAGGATGTACTGCAGGAGCGATCCCAACATAATTCTCATTGCAGCATCCTTAATGGCACACAAATAAGAGTTCAAACAATATAACACCACCAAAGAAGAAACATGGGATGCCCTTGTAGCTCTGGCAGTCAGAGTGTTTGATCACAGTGAACTTGGTTTGCCTGAAACCCTTGGTGATGTTACCAGCTTCAGCAAAGCACAGATTTCACACACAGTGTCTTGCTTGCACCTGAGGTTCAGGAGGGCAGGAGCCTCTTCTGATCAGCGTCTCTCCAGTGAGAATGTCCTTTTGCAGGCATACTCTGCTGTCACAAATAGATCTCTCGTGTGCCCTTGCAAACCCCTCCAGCCCAGAAAGCAAAACAGATAAAAGTGAAGCGGAGTCTGTATTCCAGCTTGTCATTTTGCTGACAAACACCAGGTCTGATGAGCAGCTTTGCTCCAGACCATCAGACAGGCTGCTCGGTCTCTTCAGCAGCCAGGGCAATAAAGCAGAAGATGGTCTCCAGAGAAAAGGTAACACAGCACAAAAAGACAGCCAAGCTCTGCAGCACTGCAGCAGCAACTGTGATCTGAGCTGAAAGAACCTTAAAAAGATCTTATGTTCAAAAATTTCATTGTAGACAACACTGTTTAAAACCAGTCTGGCAGCTTTATTTACGTATAGTGAGACCAACTTTCTCCTCAGTCGCAGCTGTTAAATCCCAGCGACTTCAAGAAGGCTGTGCACTTTCAGAGTGGGTCCCACCTTCTCCCGCTTTGGTGCCAGGGTTAGTGCTGGGTTGAGGTCTTCAAGCAGCTCAAAGCTCTTGTGCCAAGAGTGGCCAGCCTTCAGAAATGGTGGAAATAGTCCTTATTTTGACAGACAGGTAGTAAAAGACATGACCAAAATGGACCAAACCTTGTTTTATTACTCAGGCAAAACTCTCTCTTAGGTTATTTAACGATCAGGAACATGGGTTTTGTGACTTGATGCAGCCTTATTTTTCTTTTCTAGTCTTCCTTCATGACAGAATGTGCCTTGAGGCTGGAAAGGGGCAATTCTGGGGCATTTTTTCATTATAATAGCCTCAAAAATGAGGCACACCAAAAGGAAATTAATGTCAATTATTTAGTTATACAAACTTTAGTTAGATTTAGTTGTACCTTTATATATTTAGTCACGCTAGTTACAATTTTAGCTCCTCCCTAAATACATAATTAAAAGCTCATAGTCCATTACTCCAATTTGGAAATCACCATGCTGTCATGTGCAGACTAAAACATTGGGATGAGAAGAGACGTGTAAAACTGTGATTCATTTAATTCCTCACTGCACTTGAAAGGTTTTTATGCTGTTCTGGGAAGAGGAAGGGTTATTTTTGTTCTTCACTATTGTCAACTACAAAAAAAAAAAAATAAAAATCATTATTTAGCTTTCCATCTGGGCTAAGGCTAATACCATGGTTATGCCAATTATATCACCTTGAGGAATGCTAAATGATAGGCAACATCAAGACTTGAGGAGAGCATACAACAAATGTATGAGGCATAACTCATTGCAAACGCCCCCATGGGCTTATAACCTAGCAGAACAGTTATAACCAGCCTCCACAGAGCCTGCGGGTGCAGGTTGGGAGCTCACGACAATGCAGTTGGGACTCCTCTGATTCCCATATAAAACCACCGCAACGCGCAGCCATGCTGCTCCAGACGAAATGTCAAGTTTCTGCTCTCAGCATGAAGATACTCAAATATAGATGAGTGTGCACCACTAATGAAATATGCACAATGTCATGAGGAATGGAGAGAGCAACCCGGCAGCCACCGCTAAGTACCACAGCATGACAAATATGATCAGCCAGATGGCTTGGGAGGCAGGTGGAGGCAAGGATGTGGAGCAACTTCCCCCAGGTACTCCTGCTCACTACTCTGTTTGTTAGCAACGCTGGCTGCCCTCTTTGCTCCTGCAGAGCGCGTGCAGCCCCGTTACAGAAAGGAGAGGGAACTCCATCATGGCAAGGCTTGGAGCCTTTGCTTTGTCTTACTAAAGCCAGATTGCTATGGCACAGTCTATCAGTGGCACATGGGGAGGATCGCCTCCCAGTTTCTGGGCAGTCACAAGTTAATGTGGATGTTATCGGGTTTGTTAGCTGCCTGTGACACTCACAACCCTGAGGTGCCCCAGAAGTGTGTGATCTGTGACAGGAACAGGTGGCCTTCAGTAGCGGTCCTGCTGCCAAATCAGGCAAGCTGGAGAATTCACAGGTGATCTCTGGCAGTGAAGCCTTTTTGTCCTCAGCTGAAGTATGTTTCATAGAACAAAAACATTGAAAGAAAAAACAGGAAAAAAACAATCAAAAATATGTATTCTTTTCTGTGTATAAAAATGTTAAGTACAAGTTTAAGTGACAGGAAACTAGCTAGCCCTAGAGCCTTCTCCACTGCCTGCAAAATTATCAGCAAACAGTGGTTAGACCTGCGAATTGGTGACAGCAATCATTTTTAACACACTGAATTAGAGACTAGACTTTTTAATTTGTAATTTTTTTTCAGCCACTCTAAAACTTGAAATTCAGTTGCACACATGGTATATGATTTGATGACTGATATTCTTCCTTACCAACTTATAAGTAACTAGCCCAGATACACCCATATGTTATATGTTTACCATACCAAGTATATCAGAAATCCACATGAAATTGGATTAGCCCTAATACAAAGCACTGGGATGACTAATCACTATGTAAAACCCAATTAAATAAGATTATAAGTATAAAGAAGAGTAAATTCCCTCTTAACAGATGACATCCACCTACATAAGATAACCAAGTCTGGCTTGTTTGTCTGAAAAAGTTCATACAGACTCCAGCCCTTGAAGACTCTCACGTGAGCAATCTTTCATCCACCCAAACAAGCCATATGAATAAGCCTGGCACTCAGCAGCCGTTGAGTGTGAAGGCCACAGACAGTTTTCATGCCACCAGGTTAAGGGAAACCATATTCACACTGCCTTTTACTCTTCATATGGCCGCTCTGATAAACTGCATCAAATGACAAAATACGCACTACTCCAGTATTTCAATTACTGCAGAATGATCACTTGAACAACAACATTGTCCAGCTGCAGACTGCCTCACTGGCTGCTGAACTAGTTTCAATTAATTTATGAAGCATTTAATTGGAAAATAACATGTGAACTTTCAAACGCACTAAAACCAAATTTATGATGAAAGGTGATCAATGCTTGCTGAGGTCCAGGTAGCAATGAACTGGTTGTCATCTCAGGGACACTGGTCATAAGTAATTTCAATGAAGTTATTAAAATTATAAATGTGTAAACCTGGGAGCTCAGATTCAGGGCAAAAGCTAGTTCCTTCTAAGAAACATCATAACATCAAATGTTATTGTTCTAAATATATGTACTTAAGTTCTACCATTAAGAAATATCTACAAAGCCCATGACTCCGATAGTTTTTAAATTTTAAGTATTATGTGTCATATTTTACTAGCCTCATGTGTTTTTTGCCACGGGAACAGATTTACGTAATTATTTTACAATGTACTGAGTACTGGGGTTCAATCTGCACTTGAATGGATGTCCAGAACGCCAACATACTCAAGCTTTCATTTTTAATATAAAAAAATAAATTGAGCTCATAGAACTTCTAGCAGATTAACACTGTGCAGGCATGATCCCACCTCCATGGAATGCAAGGGCAAAATCCACATTCAATTCACTGATATCAAGATCGCAACACAATTTCTTAATATTTATTGTAATAAAGTTCATGTAATGCTGCTTGTTCTCTCTCAGATTTTGATCTGATTGCAGAAGAGTGCGATTATACTAAGACGACACTAACACATCTGAAAACTAGCAGAGAAGAACATCAAGCTATTTAAATGAAAACATATTGTAGTATTTATTGGTAACTGACTACCAGATCTCTTAACACAAGCTTCAGCAAGTCACCACATATTCTTCTTGTCTTAAATGCACATATTTTACTGCCAGCTGTGACCTTCATCAGAATATTTGATCTGTGTGTTATGAGTGACTTTGGGGCATGATTCAACTAAAAGAGTTTAGGCTGTTTTAATTTTGCAATGCTTGGCTCTAGAAAGTCCTCTCTTTTGACTCCTTGATTTGGGCTTCCTGTTTATGTTTCATTAGAGAATGAAATAGCACTAAAAAAAAAAAAAAGATAACTCAAAATATATAGTCACTTCATAAGTTTAATACTTCCCTGCAATATTGAACTCATGCTTCAAATATTTGTTCTATGTAAGTAGAATGTTTTAGCACCTATGTTTCTTGGAGTAGTTTTCACACCCTTACAGTTATTCTATTTATAACTCTTTTACACAGACTAGAGAAAGTCAGTGTAAGAGTCATTAAAATGTAATGCAAGCCATATGCCCAGAAAACTATTTTAAAATCATTTCTAGTATTTTTTCTAATATTGTTTTAAAGTTACATTTTAAATGCACCATACTCTTCAAAGTAATTCATTTCTGTATTTGCTCCAGGTGTTTTCAAACCTGAAAAGAAAATTAAAACTGTGTCCTAACATTCTAAACTGCAATCGAATCCGCTGCCACACAACACAAATGACCAAATTACAACATTTACAACACGCACTCAATTCCAACAATTTGTCCATGCACTCAATTACCAACCTGCCATCCGCCGCTGCAATCACTTGCTCCGCAGGCACCGCGAATCCCACACACACACAAAGCAGTAGGAACCTAACGGCAGCGTTTCTCTCCATTGAGAAGAGAGCCAGTCCCTCCACACACATCTGCTCCTCTGGTCCAGCGGGCAGCCGGGCACCAGCGCTCTGCCTGGCAGCGTGACAGGCAGCAGATCCAGCCAATCGCGGGCAGGATTCACCACTCCATCACTGCATCTGTACCTACGGGAGAAATTCTTTGTGTGCTCAGATTTATTCTGTCAGCAGACACCTACCGCTGGCACATTCCAGCTTCCCTGTTAATTAAGGATTACACGTTCTGGGGAAATTATGCCAGGATGTGAGCTATGTGCTAAGGAAAAAAAGAAATAAAATCAGATGGTCTCTCCAAGCTCTAAAATCACACTGAAGAGCACTTCTCATCTGTACTCAACCCTAGCCTTAAAGAAAGGTTGAGGTGCTGTTTCCAAACAGCTCTGGAATTTCTTTTTCTGTATGATAACCAGAGAAAGAATTACATTTATTAAGTCTCACAATACCTTCTGAGTAATAGTATTATCCCCCTTTTACAGATGTGAAAGCAGACACAGCAGGCTTAGAAATCAAATATTTGGAAGTGGTTTCCTTTCTTCAGCACTAATTCAGTTTGTGAGTGTCCAGCTTTCTGCCTCAGTTGTTTGTATACTCATGGATAACTCTAACCAGACCATGGTTATTACATACCCACAGAATTACAGTGCCTCTCTTTCTGGACTGTCAGGCTGAAACAACAAGGTGCATACATGCTGTGAATACAGCAGGTTGGTTCTAGGATGGGTCATTCTCAAAAGATATGTGAGTCGCAGGCACTGGCACCTCTTCTGCAGACCCTCTGCCCTCATCAGCCTTCTCAGAATACTCATCAGCTGTGCTCATGATGCCAAAAAGAGGGCAAGGCACATGGGCTGACTCCTCAAACCTATGACCCACGTGCACTCTCTGCACATTGCTCGCTAACTGAGCTTTGCACTAAAGTGTCTGCAGGGCACCAGGAAAGCTGAAATCAGGATACTCACTGGTGGACCAGGTTAACAAGGGATTTGCAGCGTGCTCATGTGCAGTCTGGCCACCCTTGTGAACACAGACGTGGATCTGTGACCAGCCTGGAGGGAACTCTGGGGCACAAGCATAAATGGGTTCCTGGTACCCACATTCAGCATGGGCAGCTCACTCTTGAAAGGAAGCTTGGACCAGCACTTGGCTGACATTTAGACACAGTGCATCCCTCTACACTTAAATATCAGACAGGACATAGTCACAATCTGCTGCTGTACACCTATCTATGTACAGAAATAGCCCCCACACACCCACTGCTTTCTTGCTCGGCAGCTGACATCAGCTACCTGCTAATGTGATCACACAGTAAGCCCTTCTTTCCTGATTAAGAGCTCCAGTCTATTGCATTCCAGATATAAGGCAAAGATAGAGGCTTTAGCATCATAACTATTAAAAAGGATTTACCATCTTAACTCAATTTCTTTCAGTGACACAGAGAGTATTTACTAATCTTAAAAATGTCTCAATGGCTTGTCCTCAGTATTACTGCTTCTATCCAATTTAAGAAGGAATCCAGATACTTATGTGAGAATCCCAGCTTGCAAGATGAGATAAGGGAATGTAGTGATAAACAAGTACCAGCTGAAAATAATCTCTAAGTTTTCTGTGAAGCACCAGAAATGTATGAGGCTAAACTTAGAATAATTACACCAGTACAGAGACATGGCTCAGCTGAAAATTTTATGCAGCCCTAGGAAGAGGCAGAAGTGTCACACACTCTTCTAAAACTGTGAAGAAACTAATGTCACTGGCCAGTTAAATGTTTCAGTACTCCTGACTCACAGTCTCTCCAAAATAAGTGGGGAGAAAAAGGCACAAAGAAGCTTTCTGATGGTGCCCTGAGATTTTATTCACATGCTGCTATTTTCTATGCTCTATTTTCTTCATCAGCATGGGAGCAAAATCTAAGAAATAAAACCACTGAAATACAAACCAGTATGGCACAAATTAACAAATAACTTGTCCTTTGAGGGCAGAGAAAGTAATATAAACAACATGTGGCAGGCCACAGCTGAAGTCAGTACAGGCTGAACACAAGATAATGTCCTGCTGTCCATTCTGTGACAACAGAATCTATCTTTAATTGTACTTCCAGCCTGTGTGTTTCCACGGTGCTACCAATTTGTAAAGCGAACCAACCTGCCTTCTCAGACTGCTGTTTCACAAAAAGAGGGGAAAATTACAGTCAATTTGCTCAGAAACAAAGGTTTTTGCAGACCCAAGAAAACATGTAATGCCAAACTGTCAACATAGGTTAAACCAGTATAAATGAGTGAAAATATACTGACTTTCTCACCGTACACTAATGATACGGGGTTTGGTAGCAATTCACTAATCAGCTATCATTATCTGAAATAATGGTACACACAAAGAGCATGAAGCAAAGTCTTCCCTTACATCTTGACACTTAATAACAACAACATTAAACATGTGATACAGTTCTTAAAAATTTTGCTTTTTTATGAGGTTCAAGCATAAACAGACTCACTTGGTATCTAAAAAGAAATTAGATCCACTGAAATCAAAGAAGTAATCCTAAGCATTATTTCATTCTGGTGAAGAATGATGACAAAACCAACATATCTGCATTACTGAGTTTAAAAAGAAAACTTGAATGCAGCTTTGCATGCAGTAGCCCTGACAAGGGAATGATTAGATGAGCTCTTGTGATTCTGTTGATGAATCACTGTTGTACATTCGCCTGTTTTACATTGAAGTCAACCAAACAACGCTTGCTTGGCCGCATGATTCAGCTACATACTTACACAGCGGACAAAGGGTGAGCAGAGGATCATGGACAAAGCCCACACACTGTTTTATGTAACACATGAGGTCACATTCAACTCCACATAGGCATATGATGAACCTCCTACAGGACAAAGTCAGTGGGAAGACAACAGCCGCCTTTGCATCCTGTAAGATGGGCTATGGTGGGCTAAAAGGGGACAATATTCCAAGTAAGAGGATTAAGCTGCTGTTTATCATCTCTTTTTTTGCCCTCTGAACTTGTCTTCTGACGATAAAGCAGCTCCCATTTAGTTGTTTTTACTTAGTATCATAGCAGTCCAGACATGTCCACCACCAGGGAGGAGGCACAGCAGGAGATCATACTGTACTTTAAACACTGATCTTTTTTTTGGATCTGCTGCACAGAAAAGGTAGTTAAGCAAGCAGCTGGCATTATATTCAGTGTAAGGTTTTGCAGTTTTGTGAGGTTTGTGAAGCAAACAATCATAGACTGATAGGTTAGCCAGTCAGTATTGCTGGCACCCCACATCCCCAGATGTGTCACCACAGCCCAGCAAACCTCCTGTCAAACAGAATGATTACAGAAACACTAATGGAGACCCTGAGATGACAGCTGTTCTGCCTGATGCTGCTGTGATGATTATACACACACTGAGTCTGCATGCAATGAATGAGACTGCAAACGTAATTTTAAACACGGATAACTTATCTCTTTGGCTAGCATCTCCTCAGGCAGACAACAGCACAATCATTTTCAACACAGTTTATAGTTACCTTCAGATGATGGATCAGGTCACCATGAACTGAGCAGCTTTCTAAAATAACATGTCTCAAACAAAGTATGAGCTTCAGCCACTGTGTAAGGTACTAGCACCTAATATATCATTACTAATTTTTACTTTGAGACATGCATTGTCCCTCTGTTTCAGATATATTCACAATGCAACAGAAGCATGGACAGAAAATTGGCCTTAAAGTATAGAAAAAGCTTGTCTCAGTTCCAACAAAATCCTCTTTCTGGGCAACTAGTTGGCTTGCTGGCATTTCAGCCTTCATCTCCACCACACCGGCTGGGATGAGGAAAAAATAAATCCTGTTACAACTCTCCTTCCTGCCTCCCTTCTATTCCTTGCACCCTTCCCAGCAACCCCAAAGGATCCCATCCTATCCAGAGAAATCTCCAGACTCCAGGTCATACTGCACCTGGTCTGGAGGGAGAGGGGGTCAAAAATGAAGCTCCTGATTCTCGGTCTACCTTTGAGGGTTAGGGGGGCAGAACACACAAAAAAACACACAGAAAAGCTCAGTTTGCATTACACCGTAGATATACCACTGTGGAAGGAGGTCCCAACACTTGTGTATCTCCACTCTCCTGGAAAAAGCAACAGGGGTAGCCAGAAGGTCTGATTTGTTTTACACCCATCGGTGTTTTGTGAAGCACCTGAACACTTGAAAGCATTTTACAGCAGCAGACGGGGCTGCACTGAGGCAGCTGTGGGCAGCCAGGAGCGTCGTGGCCAAGCGGGCCCAAAATGGCAGCAGGGACAACGGGAGCTGTAGTTGCCCGGCCAGTGCAGGGCACGGCGGCCGGTGAGCCAGGGGAGCAGAGCTGCTGCCTGTGGGGTGGCGGGGATGTGGGGCAAGAGCAGTGGGGAGCCCAAGAGCAACTGCAGGGAGGTCGGTGCCTGATGCCCTCCCATTGAAGCTTTCATTTTACAGCTCTGTGGGATGTCAGAAACCAGATTTCACAGGGCGTGCTGGAGATCAGATTATACTGGGAGTTTTAAGATAAATTCTGGGATTTTGGGTGGATTTATCTGCTTCACTAACCAAAACATTTAATTTTAGAAGTGCTTATGTAACAGTGCTGGCATTCTTCGACGACAATAAACTGTTTCCACCCAGCTGCCAGCAGTCCTACTGGGCGGCTGCTCCCAGCAGAGTTACTAATTTGGGATATTTCACTGCAAAAACACCTAGCCAGGGAGAAGAGGGACCCCCATGACAGCAGGGTCGTGTAGCCACCTTTGCAAGCACAGCTCTGCAGAGTCCGGAGCACCGGGGACAGGGCCACATCTGTACCGGGGTGCTGGCAGGACCAACCACGGGTCTGTGCCATGTGAAGAAACTGCTGCTCGGTGTCTGGTTTGCTCCTCCATCAAAGACACCCCGGGGAGTAAAGCAGTCCAACTCTGCCATCCAGCGATGTGTCAGAGTCCAGCTGATCCGGGATGGCAGGAAAATAATGGCCCTTGTTTCCAACAGCAGTTGCCTGAACTTCATCAAGGTAAATAACCTGCACCCAATACCAAGGAAGTTAACTGTCCCGTTGTAACTGCT